TCACTATGACAATGATACAACAACAGCCACTGCTGCCACTATCATTATACACACTATGACAATGATACAACAACAGCCACTGCTGCCACTATCATTATACACACTATGACAATGATACAACAACAACCACAGCTACCGCTACCATTATACACATTATGACAATGATACAACAACAGCCACTGCTGCCACTATCATTATACTCACTATGACAATGATACATCAACAGCCACTGCTGCCACTATCATTATACTCACTATGACAATGATACAACAACAGCCACTGCTGCCACTATCATTATACACACTATGACAATGATACAACAGCACGGGAAGCTGTGCGGGTGTGCGGGCGCGCCATTTCAATTCTCACTGAGCGGGTTAATTGTACCAGCATTCTAAAGGACTGATTGAGTGATGGTGATAAGTTATACTAGAGCTATTGATGGTCGTGTCAAGGTGCTTGACCAGCTCGCTTGGTGCAAACCAGGCTATCTCCAAGGATATACCATCTGCCATTAGGGAAACTCGGGGTGTTAGTTTTATCTAACATTGTTGTGAAGGATACAATATTGGGCTCCCTCGCTTAAAATTCACAGTCTACCTGTCACCTGAATCATCGCAAGCAGAGAGTGAGTGTGAATGCTTGAATGTAAGTACTAAATCCCGGGTTATTTAAAGTGTCGTGCACATATTATTTTTGGTGATCAATAATCACCCAATCTCGGTTCGATCACAGAAAATCTCACAACCAGCTTTCTCTGTGTGGGAATCAAATGTGATTGTGGAAGTGTTAAGTTGTCAGCTCACTTTCAAAGTGTTGCGTCGCTAGTAGAGTGACTGATGACGTATGTGTGTGTGAACAATATTATTAAACACATTTAAGATAGGATGTTAACGTCTGTTACTGGAAGTGTTGGGAGTGATTAATTACTACGGTCGTCTTAGTGACACGTGTTATATTTTTATTGAGTGATTATCTCATTGTGGGTTGTACTGTGAGGTGAAACTTTGTTATTGTTTCGTCTGTGTGATAAGCAATTATTAGTGTTGGTAATTTTTATAATTATTGAAGTGTTGATTAATTGATTGTTAAATGTCCGAGTGACAGTGTGATTAATGTAAACTAATTGATTGATTATTGACTATCTGTGTGACAGTGTTTTACGTAAGTTTGTTAATTAATTGATTGAGTGTTGACTGAGTGCCAGAATGATTATCGTAAATTAATTGAGTGTTAATTAATTCATTGTGATTTAATGTCTTTGTTACATTGATAAAATAATTACTTTATGTTGTTGTGAATGTCTTGGTGACAATGTTCTTTTGTATTTATTTACGAGTGTAAATGTGTTGTGTTGGTGAAGTGCTAGGATACTGCCAGATGCAAGTGTTGGTGAAGTGCTAGGATACTGCCAGATGCAAGTGTTGGTGAAGTGCTAGGATACTGCCAGATGCAAGTGTTGGTGAAGTGCTAGGATACTGCCAGATGCAAGTGTTGGTGAAGTGCTAGGATACTGCCAGATGCAAGTGTTGGTGAAGTGCCAGGATACTGCCAGATGCAAGTGTTGGTGAAGTGCTAGGATACTGCCAGATGCAAGTGTTGGTGAAGTGCCAGGATACTGCCAGATGCAAGTGTTGGTGAAGTGCTAGGATACTGCCAGATGCAAGTGTTGGTGAAGTGCCAGGATACTGCCAGATGCAAGTGTTGGTGAAGTGCTAGGATACTGCCAGATGCAAGTGTTGGTGAAGTGCTAGGATACTGCCAGATGCAAGTGTTGGTGAAGTGCCAGGATACTGCCAGATGCAAGTGTTGGTGAAGTGCTAGGATACTACCAGATGCAAGTGTTGGTGAAGTGCCAGGATACTGCCAGATGCAAGTGTTGGTGAAGTGCTAGGATACTGCCAGATGCAAGTGTTGGTGAAGTGCCAGGATACTGCCAGATGCAAGTGTTGGTGAAGTGCTAGGATACTGCCAGATGCAAGTGTTGGTGAAGTGCTAGGATACTGCCAGATGCAAGTGTTGGTGAAGTGCTAGGATACTGCCAGATGCAAGTGTTGGTGAAGTGCTAGGATACTGCCAGATGCAAGTGCAGTAATTGCCAAGAACACGAAGTGTTCAGTTAGTTCACTTTTGGTCATGACCTGTTCAGTGGGTCGAGAAAGTACGCTTTGCAGGGGATGAGTCACAATAACGTGGCTAAAGTATGTTGACCAGACCACACACTAGAGGGTGAAGGGACGACGACATTTCGGTCCGTCCTGGACCATTCTCAAGTCGATTGAGAATGGCAATCGACTTGAGAATGGTCCTGGACGGACCGAAACCTCGTCGTCCCTTCACCTTCTAGTGTGTGGTCTGGTAACAAGGTACTTTCTCACACCTGTGAGAGTGGTGGGAACGGCTTCCTGCTGGGAGGAGGTGTTTTGACAGTTGATGAGGTGCCACTCTTCAGTAACGTAACGAACATGGGTCACTGTGCATTAGTAAGTAAGGTGTTGAATAAATACATTTAATTTGTTAAACGTGCCTTCGATGTCATTGCTAATTATGAAGTACTGCCCCATTATTCTTTAATATTTCTTCTTGTCATTAATTTGAATTGCCTCGGGATCCAACCTAGACCCTCAAGCACTGAATAAAAAATTCGGTGCTACCATCAGCTACCTGCTAGACTTGCTTGCAAGCAAGTTGCAAAGAGAACGATTAAATGTGGAAGGCCTAGTTTTGCATGTGGAATATAAGACAGCCCAGGCCTACATCTACACCTGAATACCTAGACCTTGGCGTCTTGCTCACGCCTCCGTAATGTATTCATTTGCTTGTCGAAGGCAAACATTCGAATCCGCATCCCAATAACCAGACCCCTCACATCTGCCCCCCACCACCGTGCTAGAGAGTTTATGGGGGGGGGGGGGGGTATAATCTCACATCTGGCCCCCACCACCGTGCTAGAGAGGCTGTGAGGGGGGGGGTATAATCTCACATATGGCGCCCATCACCGAGCTAGAGAGGCTGTGAGGGGGGGGGGGGGGGTATAATCTCACATCTGGCACCCACCACTGTGCTAGAGAGTCTATGAGGGGGGGGGGTATAATCTCACATCTGGCCTCCATCACCGTGCTAGAGAGGCTGTGAGGGGGGGGGGGTATAATCTCACATCTGGCCCCCACCACCGTGCTGGAGAGGCTGTGAGGGGGGGGGGGGTATAATCTCACATCTGGCCCCCACCACCGTGCTGGAGAGGCTGTGAGGGGGGGGGTATAATCTCACATCTGGCGCCCATCACCGTGCTAGAGAGGCTGTGAGGGGGGAGGGTATAATCTCACATCTGGCGCCCACCACCGTGCTAGAGAGGCTGTGAGGGGGGGGGGTATAATCTCACATCTGGCGCCCACCACCGTGCTAGAGAGGCTGTGAGGGGGGGGGGGTATAATCTCACATCTGGCGCCCATCACCGTGCTAGAGAGTTTATGGGGGGGGGGTATAATCTCACATCTGGCCCCCACCACCGTGCTGGGGAGGCTGTGAGGGGGGGGGGTATAATCTCTCATCTGGCGCCCATCACCGTGCTAGAGAGTTTATGGGGGGGGGTATAATCTCACATCTGGCCCCCACCACCGTGCTAGAGAGTCTATGAGGGGGGGGGGTATAATCTCTCATCTGGCGCCCATCACCGTGCTAGAGAGTCTATGAGGGGGGGGGGATTATAATCTCACATCTGGCGCCCACCACCGTGCTAGAGAGGCTGTGAAGGGGGGAGGGGTATAATCTCACATATGGCGCCCACCACTGTGCTAGAGAGTCTATGAGGGGGGGGGTTATAATCTCACATCTGGCGCCCATCACCGTGCTAGAGAGGCTGTGAGGGGGGGGGGGGGTATAATCTCACATCTGGCGCCCACCACTGTGCTAGAGAGGCTGTGAGGGGGGGGGTATAATCTCACATCTGGCGCCCATCACCGTGCTAGAGAGGCTGTGAGGGGGGGGGGGGGTATAATCTCACATCTGGCGCCCACCACTGTGCTAGAGAGGCTGTGAGGGATGGGGGGGTATAATCTCACATCTGGCGCCCACCACCGTGCTAGAGAGGCTGTGAGGGGGGGGGGGTATAATCTCACATCTGGCGCCCTTCACCGTGCTAGAGAGGCTGTGAGGGGGGGGGGGGGTATAATCTCACATCTGGTGCCCATCACCGTGCTAGAGAGGCTGTGAGGGGGGGGGGGTATAATCTCACATCTGGCGCCCACCACCGTGCTAGAGAGGCTGTGAGGGGGGGGGGTATAATCTCTCATCTGGCGCCCATCACCGTGCTAGAGAGTTTATGGGGGGGGGGTATAATCTCACATCTGGCCCCCCCCCACCGTGCTGGAAAGGCTGTGAAGGGGGGGGGGGTATAATCTCACATCTGGCGCCCATCACCGTGCTAGAGAGGCTGTGAGGGGAGGGGTATAATCTCACATCTGGCGCCCATCACCGTGCTAGAGAGGGTGTGAGGGGGGGGGGGGTTATAATCTCACATCTAGCGCCCACCACCGTGCTAGAGAGGCTGTGAGGGGGGGGTGTATAATCTCATATCTGGCCCCCACCACCGTGCTAGAGAGGCTATAAGGGGGGGGGGGAGGGGTATAATCTCACATCTGGCCCCCACCACCGTGCTAGAGAGGCTATGAGGGGGGGGGGGGATAATCTCACATCTGCCCCCCACCACCGTGCTAGAGAGGCTGTGTGTGTGGGGGGGGGATAATCTCACATCTGGCCCCCACCACCGTGCTAGAGAGGCTATGAGGGGGGGGGGGATAATCTCACATCTGCCCCCAACCACCGTGCTAGAGAGTACCCAGGGGATGCTCTTTGTACCCGGTGGTCCCAGGCTAGGGAGTACCCTGGAGCTTCTCTCATTACCCCCCGCCCCCCCCCACCCCCGTCCGTAAGAGATGAGATGTAGAATACCCCTTGCCCCCCCCCCTCCCCGTCTGTAAGAGAGTACCTTGGGGCTGTTCTCAGTACCCCTTGGCCCCCAGGTAACACACACACAGGGGAATGTTGTCCCACCTGATGAGCGTCACATGTTTTCCATACGCCGTCACTGGAAGAGAATAAGACACTATAAGACAAAAGTTATCTGCGCTACACTCCAGCTCTGAACGGGGAGTTCAACACTCCAGCTCTGAACGGGGAGTTCAACACTCCAGCTCTGAACGGGGAGTTCAACACTCCAGCTCTGAACGGGGAGTTCAACACTCCAGCTCTGAACGGGGAGTTCAACACTCCAGCTCTGAACGGGGAGTTCAACACTCCAGCTCTGGACGGGGAGTTCAACACTCCAGCTCTGAACGGGGAGTTCAACACTTCAGCTCTGAACGGGGAGTTCAACACTCCAGCTCTGAACGGGGAGTTCAACACTCCAGCTCTGGACGGGGAGTTCAACACTCCAGCTCTGAACGGGGAGTTCAACACTTCAGCTCTGAACGGGGAGTTCAACACTCCAGCTCTGAACGGGGAGTTCAACACTTCAGCTCTGAACTGGGAGTTCAACACTCCAGCTCTGAACGGGGAGTTCTACACTTCAGCTCTGAACGGGGAGTTCAACACTTCAGCTCTGGACCTGGAGTTCAACACTTCAGCTCTGGACCTGGAGGTCAACACTCCAGCTCTGAACGGGGAGTTCAACACTCCAGCTCTGAACGGAGAGTTCAACACTTCAGCTCTGAACTGGGAGTTCAACACTTCAGCTCTGAACGGGGAGTTCAACACTTCAGCTCTGGACCTGGAGTTCAACTCTCCAGCTCTGGACCTGGAGGTCAACACTTCAGCTCTGGACGTGGAGGTCAACACTCCAGCTCTGGACCTGGAGGTCAACACTCCAGCTCTGGACGTAGAGGTCAACACTTCTGTTGAGCGGAATTTGGACAAATTAAATCTTTCATGTGAATTTATTGAGGAAATTACAGCAAATTCGGGAAAATATACAGCAAATTTACTATTATATATTTGTGGGAGGAGGAGACTAACGGAGACCTGTGGTCCCAGGTATTACAATAACAATTAGAGGTTATTGTAAAATGATGATCACAAATTATTGGTCCAAATTAGTGTGAGGTGTATGTAAAGTGGAGGTCGCCCCCTGAAGCATTCCATGCAAGAATAAGAGTTCATAATAGCAGTTTGCCTTAATAAAGATCAGACAAATACATTGTGAATATGAGGAAATTGAAATGAAATTCCCTTGAAATTCCTGTTTCTCCAACTTTGGGTAAGCCATGATAATGAACGCAGGTTTACTGCCATCGAAGCCAACAACATACTAAAAATACATATAAAATGTAAATCACTTCTTATTATTTATTAAAACTATGAAACAAAGAGATAGACAATGGGTAAATAACGTATAATAAGCAGACTAATTTTGGGATGTGAGAAAATGTCATGCATCGTGAGGTCTCCTAGTGCCACACCCCTCGCCTCACCCCTCGCGTTACCCCGCGCCTCACCCCGCGCCTCACCCCATGCTTCGCCCCGTGCATCACCCGGAGCCTCACCCCGTACCTCACCCCGTGCCTCACCCCTCGCCTCACCCCGTGCCTCACCCCATGCCTCACCCCTCGAATCACCCCGTGCCTCACCCCATGCTTCGCCCCGTGCCTCACCCCGTGCCTTACCCCGTGCCTCACCCCTCGCCTCACTCCGTACCTCACCCCTCGCCTCACCCCTCGCCTCACCCCGTGCCTCACCCCATGCTTCGCCCCGTGCCTCACCCCGTGCCTTACCCCGTGCCTCACCCCTCGCCTCACTCCGTACCTCACCCCATGCTTCGCCCCGTGCCTCACCCGGAGCCTCACCCCGTACCTCACCCCGCGCCTCACTCCGTACCTCACCCCATGCCTCGCCCCGTGCATCACCCGGGAGCCTCACCCCGTACCTCACCCCGCGCCTCACCCCATGCCTCACCCCGTGCCACACCCCTCGCCTCACTCCGTACCTCACCCCATGCTTCGCCCCGTGCCTCACCCCGTGCCTCACCCCGTGCCTCACCCCTCGCCTCACCCCTCGCCTCACCCCTCGCCTCACCCCGTACCTCACCCCGCGCCTCACTCCGTACCTCACCCCATGCCTCGCCCCGTGCATCACCCGGGAGCCTCACCCCGTACCTCACCCCGCGCCTCACCCCATGCCTCACCCCGTGCCACACCCCTCGCCTCACTCCGTACCTCACCCCATGCCTCGCCCCGTGCATCACCCGGGAGCCTCACCCCGTACCTCACCCCGCGCCTCACCCCATGCCTCACCCCGTGCCACACCCCTCGCCTCACCCCTCGCCTCACCCCGTGCCTCACCCCTCGCCTTACCCCTCGCCTCACCCCTAACCTCACCCCGTACCTCACCCCGCGCCTAACCCCATGCCTCACCACGTGCCACACCCCTCGCCTCACCCCGTGCCTCACCCCGTGCCTCATCCCATGCCTCATCTCATGCCTCACCTCGTGCCTCATCTCATGCCTCACCTCGTGCCTCATCTCATGCCTCACCCCGTGCCTCACCCTGTATCTCATCCCGTGCCTCATCCCATGCCTCACCCCGTGCCTCACCCCGTGCCTCACCCCGTGCCTCACCCCGTGCCTCACCCCGTGCCTCACCATGTGCCTCACCCCGTGCCTCACCCCGTGCCTCACCCTGTGCCTCACCCCGTGCCTCACCCCGTGCCTCGCCCCGTGCCTCACCCTGTGTCTCACCCCGTGCCTCATCCCATGCCTCACCCCGTGCCGCGCCTCGCGCCTCACCCTGTGTCTCACCCCGTGCCTCATCCCATGCCTCACCCCGTGCCTCATCCCATGCCTCACCCCGTGTCTCACCTCGTGCCTCGCTCCGTGCCTGATCCCATTCCTCTCCCCCGTGCCTCACCACGTGCCTAATCATGTGCCTCACCCCCATGCCAAGCTTCGTGCTTCAACCTGTGCGCCACACACCGTGCCTCACCCCGTGCCTCACCCCCATGCCAAGCTTCGTGCTTCAACCTGTGCGCCACACACCGTGCCTCACCCCACGCCTCACCTCGAGTCTCACCCCTTGCCACACCCTGTATTTATAATCTATATAATTAAAAATGGTAATGTTCGTTTGTGCATAACCGCTAATCTCCGAAAGTTCTTTACCGACTGCTTTGAAATTTTGACACAACGATGCATTTGAATTGATGCGTCTTTTTATATACCTACTATATAGATGCCACACCTGTGACAGGTAAAACATGCGTTTTTTTTTTTTAAACAGTGCATATGTTGCAAATAATAGCAACACAGCATGCTATACTAAATGTCACAAATTCCATTTCAATGTTTCCGATTGCATTGATACATTTTATTTTCATAGATTTCGATATATTTTATTTTTTATTGAATTATTTTGTGTGACATTGTGTTGGAATTGAGCTGTGTTGTTTACCATACCGTTCATTTCGTAAGTATAAGTATAGATGCCACACCTGTGACAGGTAAAACTATGCTTTTCTTGAAAAACAGCGCCATCTGCTGTATGTAGGAGCCACATACATGCTATACTTAATATGTTACAATTACAATCCAATGTTTCTGATTGCATTGATAAATTGAATTTTCATAGATTTAGATTTATTTTCATGTTGATTTAATTATTCTGTGTGAATTGAGTTTGAATTGAGCTGTCTTGTTTATCACACCGTTCATTTCGTGAGTATAGTTTATTTTTTTATTTGTTCATATTTTCATTTCATTTTTAATTGTTTTTATTATATTTCAGTGATGGGAACATCAGATCACTTGATGTTCCCAATTTTCTGATGGGAACATCAGACCATTTGGGAAGGCATCGGATGAGGGAGTGGGGAATGGTGGGGATGACGAGGAGACGGAAGTGAGAGATGGTGGGGAGGACGAGGGGACAAGGGAGGGGGTAATGGTGGGGAAGGATGAGGGGACGGGGGAGTTTGGAATGGTGGGGACTAGGGGATGAGGAGAATGGTGGGGAGGACAAAGAAACAGGGGAGTGGGGCATGGTGGGGAAGGACGAGGAGACGGTGGAGTGGGGAATGGTTGAGAGGCCGAGGAGACGGGTGAGGGGGGTATGGTGGGGAGGACTGGGGGACAGGGAAGTATGCTGTGGCTCAGTAACACACATGCGTTGCTGAGCCACAGCAACGCGTTGCCGGGTACTGTTAGTTACAAAATAAACATACACCATACAATATTCAATACAGCACTCCTCACAACTTAAAGTCATTTTGATAATAACATCATAATATCTTATCTTCCACCAAGGACTCCAGTACCCCCATAAGCTCTGGTCCGGCACTAGGGCTTTATACAGCAACTACACCTGGTAGCATCAATGTCATATTTATATAAACTAGGAAAACTGGACTCTCCCTAATTAACCTATTCGGTAGTACGTCAATATACTCTACACACTCTTGCAACGTGAATACTACAACTTGGTGGTTTATCTTAGTAACTGGCAGGAAAGATCCATTCAACATGGTAAGGACCGGCCCACACCGATGCTCCTTGGGTCTGGGGAAGATGGCGTTCGTCTCGTCGCGTCGTCACTCGCTCCTCCATACATAATCTCTCAACATTCCCGGTCTCCCTTCGTAGATTATGTGATCGAGTCCACTTTTCCTTTACACAGTTCTACCACACAGCACACATAATTCCTAACCAGTCTCTAGGTCTCTAGGTCAAGGTACTTCTTTGCTGAGCGGAGTAAACTCAGCATCGCGCGACCTCCCAGCTGCCAGCCGCAGGTTTCTTTCGAGAAAAGTTCTCTTTATTGTTCCCACACAACGTTTCTGACCGTGCCTCACCCTGTGCCTCACCCCATGCTTCACCCCGTGCTTCACCCTGTGCCTCACCCTGTGCCTCACCCTGTGCCTCACCCTGTGCCTCACCCTGTGCCTCACCCCATGCTTCACCCCGTGCTTCACCCTGTGCCTCACCCTGTGCCTCACCCCATGCTTCACCCCGTGCTTCACCCTGTGCCTCACCCTGTGCCTCACCCTGTGCCTCACCCTGTGCCTCACCCTGTGCCTCACCCCCGTGCCTCACCCCCGTGCCT